AAATCTGGATTCTTTGAGGAAACACCACTTAAACTAACAATTTCTACTAGGCAAGTACTGACCAATTTTGATGGTCACATTCACATTTCCTGTATTTGATGCTGCTCTAGTAATGAAGGAAAAATCTACTTTCTTTTTTATTTTTAAACATAGCCTCTTCTGCAAAAGACTTCATGGTATCAGTTCAGATTTGCTTCAGATTCCCTATTTTCACAAGCTGCCTTTTCTGAGAAGCAAGACTCTATGTACAAGCCTGAATCTGCAATCCACTGACAGAAAATAAATGAAGGCACTGCACTCATGTATTAGCAGAAGTATTCAGAAAAAGTAAAATGTTTTCTAATTTCAGTGGCTTTGTAACTTTCTATTTCCTAACACTTAAGTCAATTATTTTCTGACAAGTCTTTGTTTTTTGTTGTTAATCAGGGTTGACATTTTATGTACTTTAATGACCTGGACCTCATTTTATTTCAGAGGTAAAATCACCTAAAATATTTATACTTTACATTTTCTAGAGCTACCTTAAATATGTGTCACTGAATCTCACTGTCTGTTAGTTGAAAGCCTGAGACTGGGGTAGAGGAGAAGGAGCCATTATTTGAAAGGGAAGAAGATGAGTGACAAAGGCCAACTCCCCTGTCTACACTCAGCTAGGACTCCAAAATGCCCTTGGAGGCTTAATCACCGGTTAGCAAAAGCAGATCACTTAGATGAATTGTAACAGATGGTTTTAAAGAAGGAAGAAGGTCGGCGAAGCACAGCACCTTCAGATGGAGCTTCTCTGAGGCCTCTAACTAACTGCGTGTTCCTGGACAAGTCAGGCAATCCCTTGTATTAGGAAGATGGAAGCAACAGCTACTTATAGAGCTGTAAGATCAAATGAGGCACAAAGTATGTGCCTTGTAGCCTATAAAAGTGATATGACCTCATTATAACTGTGGCTACTATTACTTAATGACCTGGTATTGGCATTCCTAATTGTAGATTTTATCCTCTCTTTTTAACTCCACCACAGTATCTTAATGGTAGAGGCCAGAAGTTAAGCCCCTCTTCCCAACACCTAGTTTATGCAGATTCAAATAAAGAAAAGGCTTGGTTCCATCTGAATTCTTTCCCAGAACAACCACCTTCTTGTTATTCATCACTATTTATATTCAGATAAAAGGCTGGAGCTGAATTTACTGAGAAACAATAAAAAAGGAGGCTGCAAAAGAGGACTGCCCAGAATTGTGCAAACAACTCTGATGAAGCTAGTCTGAAAGCATTCAAGGAAGAACACCAGAAAGCGGCCACAGACGCTTATTTGGTTTATCTCAATCCTGGCAGAATCACGTTCAACAGTTAGGTTATAGGCTTTACGTTCCAAGAGCTTTTGAAACAATAAATGATTAATCTCTTCCAATACTTTTCACTGAATAATATAGTTTATTAATTTTTGTCATTAAAAAGAAAATGGAGCAGAAAAGTTTCAAAGACAGGAGAATACAGGGTTTTTGGAGGAGGACTTATATTTGTACTAAAAGAGTAAAAAACAAAGAATTGACCTCCATTCCACCAAAATTTAGTTTTCATAAATTATAACAGTGGTACTAGTGAATTTAACATAGGAAAATGAGACTGTTTTTCCTCATATGTAACAGTAAGATACGCATACACACACATGAACACGAAAGACACCACGGCTATGTGAAACTACTGGTTTCTCCCACTTTAAGCACATATGAAAATCTGCATCATTTAACCAAGTCAGCTGAAGAATGATTACTAAATTTATTTTAAGTGTTATTTTCTGTAAGACATTTCAGAAGCACATTTCTAAAATATTGTTAGTGACTTGTTTTAAAATTGTGCTTTGTGGAGACTCATTTCTACAAAAAAATCTCTAAGAATATTCACCATGTAAGCTAAATACATAGTTCCCTTAGAGGGGAAAAATCTACTGAAGAGGGTTTACCAAAATGTCTTGCTAGCTCTAATAAAATACTAAATTCATTAAAATTATAAGTTTAAGTCATCAAAATAAGCCAACACAGGCATAAACCCTCTATAGTTCATGGCACTTGACTGACATATCATTGGATGCAACCAGAAAAATAAAGCCACTTTATCTTTGTTTTTGTTTTTTTGTTGTTTTGACTTGAATTCTTATGGCTTTTTTTTCAGTGATATGGTCTTCTCACTGATTACTTACTGATTACTTACTTCCAGATTTAACTGTTTTAAAGGAAGCAGTCAATTTTTGATCATTAACACCAAAGTCTGCCAGAAACACTCTGCATTAATGAATCTCAAATTATTTTATCATTTCATTAAGTTTAATGCATGTTTGTTGGGAAGAATTCAACCTTTAGTCTGAGTTAGTGGGCAGCTTAATGTTGGTAACAGAGACAAACAGTAAGATCAAAAGTGAAATACACCACCTCCGACTAATGAATCCATCACAATGGTCTATTGGTCTATTATTTAGTCAGACTGTATCTAATAAAACTGACATCACTTAATGCAAACCTGTCATATTCATGGATAACATAGAATTATGGATGGAAAGAAGGATCGAAAAAGTGAAAGCAAAAAGTCTGATTCCTTGATATTTTTCTTTTATGAATATAGGGTCCCTCTTCCTTCCATCTCTAGCCACCTACAAAAACAACTACAGATCAAAACCACAAGCTTCTTGTTATTAAGAGAAGTCAAAGGAAAAACTCAGATTATTCCTTACCCAGAAAATTAGCAAGTGACACGTGTAGAACAAGTATATTCAATCCTTCCTAGTTCTGCTGAATCTACTTGACTAGGCTAATACACTTTCATGAAATGGATTGGTTTCAACATAAAGCCTAATAAAATTAAATATAAATGAGCTCCTGAGGGAATTCAATCAATGAACTACTAAGCAACTTCCTGGTTTTTCTCTGATAACTTGTTACTCTCCTCGGCAGTACTATATTGCACACTGTGTAGGCAAGAGCAAGGTATGGCCACGGTAAAGGAGTAGGGTAAATGAAAATATTCTGGACAAAGCAGCTATTAATTCCTCTCCTCGAGAACCTATTCAGTAAATGGTGCTGGGAAAACTGGCTGACCACATGCAGAAGATTGAAACAGGAACCCTATCTATCCCCATGCACAAAGGTTAACTCCAAATGATCAGAGACCTAAATGTAAAACCTCAACCAC